ATTCCTGACCTCATGATCCACCGCGTTGGCCTCCCAAAGTGCTTAGATTACAGGCATGAGCCACCACACCCGACCCATGGGAAAACCGTTCTAATGCTTTTGTTTCTCCAGTGAGGAAAGTAACAGAGAAGCAGATTTTGCTAAAGAATGAGTTCTTAACATTCCAAGTTTTCCGCAAGACAGAAAGGGAGGGTGGGAGGCCCTGGGTTCCCATCCTGGGAAGTATTCACCGAGAGGCTGGATGTCACGTGGTAGAAATGTCCCAGGGGGCCATAATGAAATGCCTGCCCAATGGCCTTGCAGCGTCCTCTGAGACTCTGAGAGGTACTCTAGGATGAGGCACTGGCCCTCTGCAGGGTGACTGTCTCTGACCAGGTAATAGGACTCTGAGAGAAGCCCAGGGGAGTTAGCAAGAGCCACATAGCCCAAAGCACGGCAGTGCTCTGTAAAAACAGCAATGCCGAAATGTGGACTTTGTCACTACCCTTGGATCACAGCCACTCCTCTGAGAGTACTATGCTCGCCGTCCATTTTCCATTCATTGGCAAATGCCTGTTGAGTATAACGCGTGGGCCAGACTCCATGGGAAGCGGACCGCGGGGTCAGCAGAGAGCATGATGGGCACCATCCATGTCCTCCCTGGCCTCACCTGCACTCGCAATTAACTAGGCAATCTGAAGACAGTAGCTGGGCGACAGCGTCTAACAGGAACATCTGATGGAGGGGTCTGGGAGCAAAGGTCTTCCTGAAGAAGTGGCATGCTAATGGGACCTGCTGTCTGAAGTGGAGTGACCAGGCCTCAGCTGTGTCCCTGACTTCCGGGGGTTAGCAAGGACCCCACATGTGAGCAGTTGAATCCCCAAGGGTGGAGCAAATGCATGGAAGAGTGGCCGAAAGCCAGGCCAGAGCCAGACCCTACAGGCCCGAGGGCTAAAGAAGGTCGAGGCTTTGTCCCAGAGCAGATGGTGAAGTCAGGGAAGGCCTGTAGGCAGAGACGAGGGAGGACAGCCTCCACCCACTTGACCACATCTCTGCCTAGGGCCTTCCTAGGAGGACACCCCTGAAGAGGGGACAGGCCCCTGTCTTCTGTTTCCAGCATCTTTCCAGTCTCCTTTTGAGACTTCCCAGCTCCCATAACCCAAATCCTGTCCACTGCTCACCCTGGAAAAGGTCAAAGGAGAAAGTCCAAGTGATTCTGAGGATGTTCCCAGGGCCCAGAGCCGTCCATACACATCTGAGACCTCTGCAAAAGCCACGCAAAGTAAAATTGGCTTTGTCTCCCTTTTCTCAGGCCATCCTTTTGGCCTTGCAGTCTGTGTGTATATGTTTATTGTAAGAGCTTTGTTCATCATTTCTTAAGGAATATGTATGATGTGAGGGTTGGGCATGTTTGTGCATAAGAAGTTACACAAGGAATCATAGAAACACATTTCCCAATGGAGAACCACCTTAATGTTGAGCTTTATCTAAAAGCTGGAGTTTTTGCCAGTCACTTGAAGAGAAGCATTCAGTGCCATTTATAAGAGAGAAGATGGTTACACGCACCTGCACACAGGTGAGCTCATTTATACCTAAGGCCCTAATTGAATGCCTGGCCTTCCTCAAGAAAACTGAAGCCATCTTCCTTGAGCCCCTGGCCAGCACCAGGGCCAGCATGCTTTGCACCCTGTCTGTAACCCTGCCAGCAGCCCACGGGCTCTGTGCAATGGAAATGGAAGTAAGGCTCTGGGAGGTTAAGTAACCAACCTCAGCACGTAGCCAGGAAGTAGCACGTCCTGGATCCCAGCTTTTTCCGACTCCACAGCTCTTTCAACCCCACCCCGCAGTCCTGTGCTGACCTGATGTTCTTCAGCTGGGTTGGGAGAAAGAAGATCAGTAGCTGTCTCCCCGCCCTTGGGTCTTGTCTCCTAAGATCTGGAAAAGTGGTCAGGCAGACATCCAGCCAGTGGCAGCGTCCCTCCCAAAGGTGCTGGAAGACCCCATTTGCTGTGGAAAACCCTGGTTTCTTGGAAAGCACAGGCAGAGGCTGGTCGTGGGCTACTATGCCCACCCAGGGAGTGAATGCGTGTGGCTCTGCCTGGGATCAGCAATAAGGCTCGTGGTCCTCACTGGGTGCCCCAGCCCCCTACCTTTGAAGCAATCATGCTCTCTTCAGTTGCCACCTAGCTCTGGGCATGGAGAGGCTGTGCATGACCTGGACCCAAGATAGGTACACAGAGGAGCAATTAAGAATCAGGAGGCTCTTTGGCCGGGCGCGGTGGCTCAAGCCTGTAATCCCAGCACTTTGGGAGGCCAAGGCGGGTGGATCACGAGGTCAAGAGATTGAGACCATCCTGATCAACATGGTGAAACCCCGTCTCTACTAAAAAAAATACAAAACATTAGCTGGGCATGGTGGCGCGTGCGTGTAATCCCAGATACTCAGGAGGCTGAGGCAGGAGAATTGCCTGAACCCAGGAGGTGGAGGTTGCGGTGAGCCAAGATCGTGCCATTGCACTCCAGCCTGGGTAACAAGAGTGAAACTCCGTCTCAAAAAAAAAAAAAAAAAGAATCAGGAGGCTCTGAAGTTGAACTGGCCAAGCTGGAATCGGGCTCCACCACTCACTAGTTACATGATGATACGCACATTTGGTCTCTCTAGGCATCCATTTCTTCATTGCGAAGTGGGTCTACTAATCACCGGCTAGTCACTGTAAGGAGGAGATGAGAAGAGCCATATGACCACTTAGCAGGGTGCCTGGTGCGAGAAACTAGCTACTCTCACTGTTGCGGGGAGAGTCATGATCATTCTTGTTTTTGACTCATGCCACTGAGCAAGCTGTGGCCTAGGAGAAATCACTTTCCTCCTGAGCTTCCTTTTTTTTTTTTTTTTCCTGGTGGAATGAGTGACCTTGGCCACATCACCTGTAAGGATCCCTGTAGCCTTTACGACTTGGTGACTTTGGCTGGATCACTTTTAGGTGATCCAGAGCCTAAGGACACCCCTGGAATCTGGTTTTATCTGCAGGCTTTGCTTTTATAAATTGGTTTCTTATCTCCAATATTCAATCTCACTCCCAGGAGCGTCTAGGGCAGGCATCCCCAAACTTTTTACACAGGGGGCCAGTTCACTGTCCCTCAGACCGTTGGAGGGCCGCCACATACTGTGCTCCTCTCACTGACCACCAATGAAAGAGGTGCCCCTTCCTAAAGTGCAGCGGGGGGCCGGATAAATGTCCTCGGGGGAGGGACGCCTGGTCTAGGGAATGTGGGTTCCTTTAACATCCTGACGTTAGGCGTGAATGGCATTATTGATGATCGGCTGATGCCTTTGGCTGAGAAGTCTGCTCTTCTTACTGTTGGCCCCCTGTATGGAAACAAACAAACAAACAAAAAAACACCCTTCTCACAGCCTTCTCAGCCAGAGAAGTGGCCAAACAGCCTTCCCAGGAGGGAGGCAAAGAAAAGGCCATTGGCTCCGGGGATCTACAGATCTGAACAACTTCTAGCCTGTCATGGAATACTGGCTATGTCCTCTACAGACCTGAGCCTGGGATCCCTTTCCCAGGATCTCTAGATCTTGGGAGGAGACAAAGTTAATGATGGAGACCTATCCACATTTCCTGGACCTACCGCAAAGTATTGCAAACTGGATGGCTCAGAACAATAGAAGTTTATTGTTGCACAGTTCTGCAGGCCAGCCGACCCAAATCAGGGAGTCTGTGACAGGGTTGCTTCCTCGGGAGGGCTGTGTGGAAGTCTGTTCTGTGCCCATCTCCCAGCTTCTGGTGTCTGCTGACAGTCCTTTGCATTCCTCAGCTGTAGATGCATCACCCCCGTATCTGCACTCAATCATCACGTGGCCTCCTCCCTGTGTGGGAGTCCTCACATCCTCCCTCTGCACATCTGTCTCTGTGTCCAAATTTCTCCTTTCTGCAAGGACAGCAGCCATATTGGATTACAGTCCACCTAATGGCCTCATTCTCACTTGATTTAACTGTATTACCTCTGCACAGGCATTTCTAATAGGATAGCATTCTGAAGTACTGAGAATTAGGACTTCAGTATAGACTTTTTGGGGGAGACACCATTCCACCTATAACAAGGTCCTTGGACTATTTTCATTACTTCCAGGACGTAAGAATTAAACAATTCTCCCTACTGATTCTTAGTAATTCTGTTTAGTAAGAGCACAGACTCTGAGATGAGCTGGGTTTGAATTTTGGCTCTGCCACTTACTAGCTATGTGATCTTGGGTAACTCATCAGGCCCCTATGTGTTCAGTTTCCTCAACTGTAAATTGAAAATAGTAATGATATTTATACCTCTTAGAGTTGATATAAACATTAAGTAAAAACACATTTATAGTACCTCATCTTATCACTATTCTATATCTTAGCACGTTTGGAAAAGGCTCCATCTAATAAAATCAGTGGAAGTGTCTATGATACCTACCATGTGCTACCAGGCACTGTTCCAAATGCTGTTGTATACATCAACTCATGGCATCACCACAGCAACTTTCTCAGATATGTGCTAGTGTCATCCCTGTTACACAGAAGCAAAAACTAAGCCCTAGAATGATCAAATCATATAGGTACAGCCCTGCAGACACTAAGGGGAGAAGTTAGGACCCAAATCCAGACTTGTCTGACTCCAGGGCCTTTTAGGAGCCATTCGGACTGGGTGACTTTCTAGGAATAATAAAAGGGTCTTGTAAGGATGAAAAGAATCACAGCCCATCACCTTCACTTGCCCAGAAAGTCATTCTGCTTTCAAACGCCTGATTCCGGAGGCTTTTCCTATCATGGCAGACTGAGTGTGCTCAGAAAACACACTCCTTCTTTACAATGGGCCCAGTAGGTGAAGGGCTTGTGTCTCTCTTCCAAGCCCCAGGATGGCTTTGGAAGGCCCCCACCCCAACCCAGGAGAGCCAGGAAGAAGCAAACCATGATGCCTTCCCCCCAAGAAACAATGGTCATTTGCCTGACACCGTGACTCTGTGGTTTTGTGTCTTCTAGGGAAGTCCATTAGAACTGCTGTGCTGATCAAGGGGATGCTCTGTCTTTGAAGAAAGAAGAGATGGTCCCTCCCCAGCCGTGGGCCACCCTCACCAGTGACTCCAAGTGGAACTACTTAGCTCGTGTGTGCCTGGAGGATGTGGGAAGCCCAGCGACTCTCAGATGCACCTCCCAGAGGACCGGTGGGAATTGTTCATAGTGCCAAAGTCCTACTACTGCGTTTTCAATGGGTCCTTGTACATAGTTTGCTCCTCTGCCCTAGCCCTCACCTCTTGCTATACTGGAACCGATTTGTACAATGTGGGAATTTTGTTACCTTTTTAATCAAGGGCAACTTCCTTTTCCAGCACTACCATTGTAAGGTTTTTATCAGGAGGGAGGGCTAACCGCCTTGCTTTTCTCTTTTCTCTTTTTCTTTTTTAATTTTTATTTTATTAATTTGGGGAAGGGGTGTTAGTATTAGTGCCATGATATCTACTGGATTTTAAGTAGGGAGAATTTGTTTTTAAAGGTAGGTTGAAATTTGGGAGATTTCTCAGCAGGAAGGGCTGAAATCTATGCCTCCGTCTCAACTTGGAGAGAGGTAACAGACACTAGACCTTCCAAATCAAATTCCTTTCCAGTTCTTCCCCTGGCTGCCCTTTCAGGGGGTCCCTGCCTTAGTCCCACACTAGGCTTTCTGAACTGCCAGACTGGGCCCAGCCAGCACTGGGAGAAATGGGTAACAGGTGGCTGACTTCTTTAAGCACCTTTCTAAAAACCAGCAGAAGAGGCTCCCACCTCTATGAGCATGGTCAGTACTCTTGGGACATTAAAACAACAAGATCTTCCTATCTGGAGGGTACAAAGGTGAACAGCTTTGCTTTTCATTTCTCTTTTCACTGCCTTTTCTCGGTGTGGTATTTGACAAGATTTCAGCTCAAAGCCTCACCATGAATTGATTTTTTGTTTGTTTGTTTGCGTGTGTGTTTGTTTTGGGGACAATTTTAGATACCTGAGTGCACTTTTCTTCAGTTAGTCCTAACTTTTAAGGAAGGAAAACCAAGAGACCTATCTGGTGTACATGTTGCAATATGAATTCTGGTTGCAATCCCTCCGCCCTCCCATTCTGCCCCCCATTTGAGTACACCACAAGTCAAATGCTAGGAAGTTTGAATAAAACCAATTTTTCTAACTTGTTGCTCATTTGTTGTAACTCAATAAAGCAAAGACTAAACATTTTTATAACTTTTTCCTCTACTTTGCCTTCTTTATTGTTGTCTGGCTCCCAAGGGCTTGACATAAGGGTTCTGACTCGGGCACCCTCCGTTTCAAATTCATACGGTCACATTTCTCATTTCTCATCTTGGAGGGATCTGACATCGCAAACGTTAAAAACAAGATGTGGGCCCGGCGCGGTGGCTCACGCCTATAATCCCAGCACTTTGAGAGACTGAGGTGGGTGGATCACCTGAGGTCAGGAGTTGGAGATCAGCCTGGCCAACATCGTGAAACCCCATTTCTACTAAAAATACAAAAATGAGCTGGGTGTGGTGGCACGCACCTGTAATCCCAGCTACTCAGGAGGCTGAGACAGGAGAATCACTTGAACCCAGGAGCCAAAGGTTGCAGTGAGCCGGGATAGTGCCACTGCATTCTAACCTGGGCAACAAGAGTGAAACTCCATCCTCCTCCCCACAAAAAAAAAAAAAAAAACGGGATGTAAGTGTTGTCACAGGAATCTTCAGCGGATGTCTTTGACACAGAGGAAGTTATAGGCCCTCCCTTCTCCAGGGTCTCACAGATTGATTCATAAAATAGTCAAGAGAAGAGCTTCAGAGTGGGGATGAGAAGCCCCTCAGTGCGCAGGCTTGCCCTTGGATGACCTGAGCTGTCACTCCCCTCTCCTGGGCTGCTGGTGAGTGGTAGCTGGGACACTGCCATTTCTCTGAGAAGGTGGCTTTTAAGTACCTCTGCCCTGGTGAGGTTTAGAGTCCGTCACTCTTTGTGCCTGACACTCGTCTAGACCAGTGGTTCTCAAAGTTGGTTAGGATGTCTAATCGGCATGTCCGGAGTGGGAACTGAGAATGCGCATTGCTAACAAGTTCCTCACCTCAGGAACCTCTGGCCTAGATGCTTCATTTTTACAGGAACTTACAGACTTTTGGCCAGTTCATCTAAACCAGGCGTCCTCAAACTTTTTACACAGGGGGCCAGTTCACTGTCCCTCAGACCATTGGAGGGCCGCCACATACTGTGCTCCTCTCACTGACCACCAATGAAAGAGGTGCCCCTTCCTGAAGTGCGGCGGGGGCCGGATAAATGGCCTCAGGGGGCCGCATGTGGCCCGCGGGCCATAGTTTGGGGACGCCTGATCTAAACTTAGGGTGTGTTTATTCTTCAGATAAGGGGAAGGATCCACTTCTCAAAATACAGGAAACACTGAAATATTCAAGATTCAAAAGGGCCTGGCCTTCTCTGGGGGATGCCCGCAGTCCCCATCCTGTGGTTTACCACAGCACCATCCCCATCTCTGCACACAGCCCTCACCACGCAGCTCCAGGATTCACTTGGTCAGCTTGTCAATCCCCGAAGCTGAGAGCAGGGGCCACAGATTCTCCATAACTGTATCTCTAAAATTAGCCGGGCATGGTGGCGTGTGCCTATAATCCCAGCTACTCAGGAGGCTGAGGCAGGAGAATTGCTTGAAGCCAGGAGGCAGAGGTTGCAGTAAGCCAAGATCACTCTGCTCTCCAGCCTGGGCAACCAAGCAAGACTCCACCTCAAAATAAATAAATAATGATAGCTTTTTTATTGAGCACTTACTATGGGTTGGGCTTTGTGCTGAGTGCTTTACATATGTTTTCTTATTTTATCTTTACCACCCTATGAGATAGGTGCCCCATTTTGCAAATGAGGAAACTGAGGCTGAGTGAGGTTTTGTAACAAGCCCAAGGTCATGCAGATACTAAGCGGTTGTCATGGAGCCTACTATTTTTGCCTGTTATGTGTCTCTTACCCGCTGCTTCTGGTAAAAGCAGCCTCTTTTCTACGGGAACTGCCTTCCCCAGTCCATGAGGCTGGGCTGTGACCATTGACAGACTTGCTCAAGCACGTGATCCAAGCCTCGCCAACCATAGTTCCCATTCCCTGGCCCTAGTGATGGCATGTGGACCAAGCAGGGCCAACTGCCTCTGTCTGAGAGACGGCTGTAGAGAGAAAAAAAAGCTCTTTCTTTCTGCTTGGGTAGCTAAATTAAGACGATGTGGGCCTGGGGCTGACTGCAGCTATTTTCTTTGCCATTGGGAGGATGCCTCTCTACAAAAGATGAAAACTCAGAGAGAGAAGCAGAAAAGCAACTATTTGCTAGTATTACAGTTGTTGGAAGATGGCATAGTAGATAAGTTGCTGGAACAAAGAAACACCAAAATGCAGTGTTTGAAACAAGATAGAAGTTTGTTTCTGTCTCAGGCAACAGTCCAGAGTGGGCCATCAGACAGTGCTCCATAGAGCCATTCAGGGACCCAGGATGCCAGGCAGCCCTGCTGTCCTCAGCAGGCACCTTCCATCTCTAGATCAGAGTCGACTGCTTCATTTCCTCATCTACGTGGCCAAAAGTCCACTTCTAGGTTCCAGCCTTTGAGAAACAAGAGGGCAAGCAACTTTAGTTTTAACGTCATGAAACAGAAACTAGTCACTTCTTTTGCTATCCAATTGGCCACAACCTAGACATGGTGACTGTAAGGCTGGTTGCCTCGCCGGGAGGCCGAACACACCCACCTCTGCACTCAGCACCTGACTCTACACCCAGGACCTAGCTCTGCCGCATGGCTCCCTTAAAAGGCTCCGGCTAATGCAACCCTGGCCGGCTCTCGCACTGGAAAAGCCGTCCAACAACCCGCCAACCAACCAATAGTGGCTCGCCCCATCTCAGTCTGGCTCCCCTCGACCCAATCAGAGCACCCAGCTGTTGCTCGTTCCTCCTAGCCATAACCCCGCCACCCCACCCCAGGAAGTCAGGGAGACTTCTCTGGCCCCCTTTTCCCGGACCGGAGAACCTCCTCCGGGAGCTGAATAAATTGGCATTTAATTTTCTTATACTGGCCTCAGTTTCCTCATTTTAAACTCGGCAATCACCCTTACAGTGACACATTGATGGAAAGAAAGGTGGGGATGTAGGCTCTGGATAGGTGGCCAAGAACCAGCAGCGAAGGGGCTCTGTACCCGAAAGGAATAAGAAGAAGGGGAGAGTGGATATCAAGGACAGAGCAATCTCAGGTCAAGTTTACCTTCACCCTCGCCAGTAACATGAGCCCAGAATGAACTATTTATGTTTTCAGCTGGTTTACTTGGGTCGTTGAAACTTAAAACCAAAAATCATGACCAATATAGTCTTGAAGGCTCTGTGTCCCTGACTGGTGCTGCCAGGGGCTAAAGGGGCTGAATCACAGAGGAGAAGGTCCTGGAGTAGGTAGAATAGAAGGGACTGGCAGGTGAGTGCAAGACCACATCTGAAGAGGGCTTATTCGGAGTGTCAGACCCATTAGATGAGAAATGGGAGACAAAGAAAGAGGCCTTGAGCAAAGGGCCACAAGCCCAGGTCGAGTCAAAAGGATGACAACAGGTGCGTTTCAGCCTTCGGCCATGAGTGATGTGGGCCCAGATATGTCTTTATTCCTCTTGAGTTCCAGTGACATCAAGAAGCAGAAGGTAAGCTGGCTAAGTGCACAGGCTCAAGTAATGCTGCCTGAGGTCAAGTCTCAGCTCTGCCACTTACTAGCTGCATGACCTTGGGCAAGTCACTTATACACTCTGTGTCTCAGTTCACTCACCTGTAAAATAGAGATAATAATTGTGTCTATTCATATCGTGGCAGGCACCATGAGTCAGTATATGGAAAGCATTTAGAACAGTGCCTCATATCTGTTAAACTCTCAGGGTTGCCATTGTTATTCCTGGCTGCATAATGCACAGATGGATTGACTCAAAATGATAAGGTTGGACAGACTCCCTCTCCCTTTTTATGAATATCAGCATCTAGCACAGTTGTGTTGTTGGAGAGTTCTTGTCCTTGCCTGAGAAGCCTTGCAATCCTGCAGCAGCCATTGACTGTGAGCTCCAGTTGCCCTGGAGATAGCTGCCATCGGTATCTATCCTCAGACCTCCCTCACCACTTCCTCATTCTTCCTCAGTCCCCTGCACTCCCCCAGTCTGTGGCACAAGCAAGATGCAAGGATGCCTTCTCCTTAATGAACTCTGCTCACACTCCAGATGCCACACTCCACCTGGTCTGTTATAAGAGCACCTAGTCTCTCTCTTACAGTCTCTGCTCAAGTGCCACCTGCCCTCCATGACCGCATGTCTGCAGGGGTAGGACTGTGGTGAGTCAAGGAACATATCTAAGGGTGCAATATTTAAGGCAGAAAGATCATGCAGCTGACAAACCCTGCCCTTGCGGAAGCCTGAAAGTGGATGCCTACCGAGATTTCTCATCCTGGGTGCCTCGTGTGCCTCACTCTAGCCACGACCCTGCCTACCCATCATGCTTTTCTCTAACCATGCTTCATTTTCTTCCAACTTGCTTTTCACAACATATCATCGTGTATCTATTTGTTTACTGCCTTTTTCATCCCACTATATTGCAAGCTCCGTGAGAGTAAGGACTATATCTATCATGTTTCCTCACTGCATCCCCTGTGCCTAGCAAAGCAGCTGGCACAAAGTAGATGCTCCATAAATATTTGTTAATGGATGGATGGATGAATGGGTGAATAATGGATGGGTAGATGAATAGGTTATGAATAGATGGATGACGGATGGATGGATGAAGATTGCCAGCTCTGCCGTCTAACAGCCTGAGTTTGAATCCCAGCTCTACTGCTGACCAGTTAGGAGATCTTGTGGGAGTTACTTAGCTTTTGTTGGAGCCCTGGTTCCTCATCTGAGACCCAGAGATGATTCTACTCACTTAATAGGTTTGTTGTGAGGTTTCACTGAGTTCATGCGTGCAAAATACTCAACACACAATAAGAGCTCTACAAATGTCCATTCCCCTCCCACCACTCTAAGCAGGTAGTGGCATCTGGCCAAGGAGTGTGATGCCTGTGCCTTTCCATCCCTGGATGGGAAGTTTGCGTGAGGAGGACAGCCAGGACGAAGTTGGATCCAGGTCTAGGAAGTGATATTCCAGACATGTGCTTCTGGCACTGGAGACGTTGCCATATGTAGCAACCCTCCCCTTAGCACCAC